AATGGGTCCCCGGCATTTCTCGGCGAGGATGGGGCTTTCTCTGCGGGCTTGGTGGCGGTCGGGGCTGATGAACGCAATTCGTTTTGCTGTTGATCATTTTTTTGGTCCTTCTCCTAGGAGAGTTTTATTTTGAGGGATGTGGAAGACAGCTTAAAATTTTTATCTTAATTTGAGGCCTAATTCCTCCCCTCTCCCCCTTGAGCTGCTGTCGATCTTTCCCAAGGCTTTCCTCCTTCCTTCCAACCCCGTCTCCTTGGGGATTCTGGAAGGGACAGGCGCCTTTGACATCTCCAAAAGTGTCTTTTGTGTGCCTGACAGAGAGAGAAGGGGGGGGGCATAGAGACAGGAAGAAGAGAAAGTAGCAGAGAGAGAGGAAGAAGAGAAGAAAGAGAGCGGAGAGACAGGCACACAGACAGACGAAGAGAGAGAGAAAGAAAGAGAGAGTATGTCGGTGGAGCTGCCTACAAAAAAATTAAGCCGTCCGCTCGGAGCCAGCCCCGGGAGCCTGCAGCGGGGCGGTGGGCGCGCGCCGGCCTCCTGGAGGGGCCAGGCCTGGCACAAGTCTGCCCCTGGCGCTGGCCAATGTTTAACCCGAAGGCAGTGGCCACCAGGCCGCTTTTGTTTGTTCGCAAATTAATCACGCGGCGCACGGCCGGCGCCAGAGTGGGTTTATCACCCACCAGGAGGGGGGCGCGGCCGGCACGCCGGGACCAGGAGGAGTTCGCACCTTCCTGCTTTTGATCCCAGAATTATGGTGGCCTCCCGGAATAATATGAGCCTCCCGGGGCCCAGTGTGGGAGGTCAGTCATAATTGGCGGAAGTTTGAAGACCATTAGCAAGATGTCGACATTTTCGATTCAGAACCCCCGCAAACGCTCTCTCCTCGTCCCCCCCTCCCAACCTCCCTCCCTGGCACGCTGCTGGTGCAGCAGGAGAGGGGGGGGGGAGACAGGAGAGGCACGGCCAGAGTGACCCCAGGGTTAAGAGCTGCAGAAAGAAGCAGGCAACGGGAGAGGAATTAGAGACCAGCCTCAAGAGTTGCAGATCGGGGCGATGCACCCTGGATGGAGTCTCCAGCGAGACAAGATCCGCACAAGCCACATCATCAAACTTCCCCCCCTCTTTTGTCCCCCCCCTTCCATTTTCAGAGCAGATGGGAGGCCAGAATGTTGGGGGGGGGAGCTGATACAAATGTCTCAGTCCCTGGCTTGTGGATTGTCCCCCCCTTCTTCGGGGTACCGCGTGGGAGAGGAGGGGGTTAATGGCCTCGCAGTGGCAGAATTATTATTATTATTATTATTATTGCTTGATCTCAACGTGGCCAGGCATAGACTGGCCGGCCAGCAAGCGCAGATAAAACCAGATCGCCAGGATTTGGGGCAGCCAAGCTGGCGCAGCCAAGCGCCCCCACCCCAAGCTCCTGCAGCGAGCACGGTGGGGGAGGGGGTGCTTCTGGCCTTCCAGACACCCAGGGGACCCCTCAGTGACCTCTGGAGAGTCTGTGCACCGATGGGGGGTGGGGGAAGGTCTGGCGTCTTCCATCCCTTCCTGGGCCAGCGCGCAGAGAACGCTGGAAGGAGAGCGGGAGCTGTGTGCCAACAACTCTGGGCACCGGCTCTTTCTTTTGCGCTCTCTCTTTTTCTTCTTCGCCACCGGCAGAGAGGCCCGAGGAGTCAGGGGGTGAGGTGGGGGCGCCAGACCAGACCCAGGTTTTACAGAAAGCTTCCCCGTCTCCCTTCGGTGACTTCAGGGAAATCTCTGGGCTCTGGCGCCAAGCGCTCTGAACCATGTGCGTCAATCATACGAAGCTGGAAACAAACTCTTGTCCCTTCAAAAGTTCTTCCTCCTGTCTCGGGGCGTTTGTACGCACACTGGCACCACACACACACACACCCCAGCTGCTCCTTTGCCTGGTAGGTTGGGGGTTAGGGAGGGAGGGCACATAGGCAAAAGGTTGGCTTAGGAGAGACCTGTGCTGATCCGGTTTAGTCCACACACACGCACCCCTGAAGGAAGGCTGTTTCTTAATTCCCTGGGCCCTGTACCCCCCCTCTCTCCAGTGACTTTAACATCCAAAGGTCTCTTGCTAACCCCCCACCCCCAAATAAAGAAGTAATGGTCTCTACGCTTTCCTCTCATCTAAACCAGGACGGGCCTGCTTGGCCAAAGGGAGCCACAGCCACCGTCTTGGCAGTTTGGCGACAGGTCTGACCCGTGAGGATGCTAGGCCTGTTCCCCCTCTGCCCTATCCCCACCCGGGCCAGGCCTGGAACCAGCCTCCTCCAGCCCTCGGAGGTAGTTGGGGGGGGGGCGCTTCACGGTTTGTTTTACAAATCTGCCTCCTGACTGGTGAACGGAGAAGTCCCTGGGTGGAGAAAGGGCTGAGGCATCCAGAGATGAAGCGCGATCGATGCCCGGAGCAGATCCCAGGCTAGCGGGGCGCCCCCTGCCCGGCCCCTGGCAGCGAGACCGGCTCCCCCGCCCCTGCCCGGCCCCGCAGCTCCGCGCTCCGCCGACCCCCGAAGCACCGAGGGCAGCGGCTGGGAAAACAACAGACCCACAACTTCACGCATTGCGGAACGGTCTTGGTTCACAGCCCCCATTTTCCTCCACACACCCACTCACATCCGGGCGTAATACCCGGAGCCCGCATCCGAATGCAAAACCTGGGCTCCCAGGGCTGATAAATACATTTCAAAAGGAAAGGGAAGCGTCCCGCGTCCGTCTCTCCCGGGGAGCCGCGCACGGAGCGGGGATTACGAGCGGCGGAGGCGTTTGCGTGTACGTGTCTTTGGGGCGCGGGGACGCACTGAGGTCGCGGGTGAGGGGCGCCTGGGTCTCTCTGCACATGGCCGAGAGGAGGGGGGCACGGTGGGGAGCGCACCGCACCCCCTCGTTCCTGCGTGAAGACCTGGCTTCAGCCGGGAGCTCGTGTCCCGGCGAGCCTAGATAATAATCATCAGTCAGATCGGCGGGGTGACCCGCGCCGATCGGGACACCCGAGCTCGGGGATGGGGTGGGGAGGCTCCGCTCCACGTGGGGGGCTGCAGAGCCGCCTAGCCCGGGAGCTCCGGCGCGCAACCCCGGCTTTTGTGGCACCGAGGAGCGAGCGATCGAATGGGCTCAGCCGCCCGCCTGACCCGCCCGAGGAAGCCGGGGGAGGAGATCGGGCTGCTGGGATTCGAGGAGAAGCCGCGGAGGAGCCAGAGACGCGAGCGCACGAGAGGCGAGCGCCCCTGCCCGGCGCCGTGGCGCGCTCTCCGCCGCGTCGCTAGCTGGAGCCGGGGCTGGCAGGCAGGCAGGCAGGCAGGCAGGCAGGCAGGCAGGCAGGCTCGCGCCCTCCCTCCCCCTTCTCCTCGCAGGCCCGGCCTCCAGCCTCGATCGGGGCGGGGGAGAGGAGGGAGTGGAGAGAAGGAGGGAGGAGGGAGGGGGGGCTGGGCTTGGAAAGCCGAGGCGTTTCAGACTTGAGCTGAGCAAACCCGGGAGTTGGAGCGATCTCGGGGATCAGCCACCTAGAGGCGGCTCCGGTGCGCGCGCGCTCCCCAGCGGCGCCCGCCCCCGGGGTCGTGTTGACATCTCCGCCGGACCGGCAGTAGTAGACGCGGCAGCGGCGACGTTACAGTTTCCGACACCTTCTTTTTATAACTCAGCTCTATTCCCCCAGCACTCGACCTGTGAAAACCACGCCTATGCGGCCACACAATTGGTCCGAAAGCGTCAAAGAACCAATCAAGAAGCCTGGGGCTCCCCGCAGCCCTCAGTGCAGCCCGACCTTCTAGAGCCGGCGAGCAGACGCCCCGCGAGTCCTGGAGGCCGAGGAGGGTGGCGCGGAGCTCCCCGCTCGCCCGCTCGCTCCCTCCCTCTCTTCGCTGACGCTGTCTCTCTCTCTCTGTCTCTCTCTCCTTTCCATTTTACCCTCTCCGATTCCTCCTTGGGCCGCCCCCCACCCCACGCCCTGCGCGCCTCGGATGCAGATTTAGGAAGCGACTTGGCTCACGTTTTTGGAGAGAGAAGAGTCTTCCCCCCCCCCCCTTCCACCTCCAGCCCCCGTCTGAAGATCCAGCTGGATTCGGATCGAAACCCGGACACTCACCGGAGCTCCCAAAGCCGGAGGAGGAGGAGGAGGAGGAGGAGGAGGAGAGGAGGACGAGCGGAAGCCAGGCTGTAGTTCAAGTTTTCACAGAGCTGGTGCAAAGGGCTTCAATCAGTTCCCCCCCCCCTCCCTCCCTCTCTCTCTCCTTTCTCTCTCTTCGTTTTCCAAAGGAGAGACATTTTTTTTTCCGCTCTCCGGCTGCCGGTTCAAGCCGAGTCCTCAGCGCCAACTGCAGACGCCTCGGGCGAGAAAGGGAGAGGAAGAGAGCGATCTCCCCGCGGGCGGAGGGGAAGAAGAACCGCGAGAGGACGGTTTAAAAACAACCACCACCACCAAACCAAAACAAAACCGCCGCCCGCCGCCGCAGCCTCGCCGGAGCGGCGATCCGCCTCTGCAGCCGGGATCCTGGGGCCCGGGGCGCGACCCCGGGGACGCGCCGGGCTGGAGTGTGCTGTTCCGAGCCGTGCGCCCGGGCGCTCGGGCGGCGCTGGGGGACCCCGCGGCTCGCGCCTCCCGCGTCGGAGACCCACTTCCCGGAGCGGCTTTGTCAAGACACCGGGGAACCAGCACCGCGGCTCCTGAGCTGTCGCCGTGACTTCTGGAGAAGGAACGCAAGCCGGCGGCAGGCAGGCGCCCCGCGACCCCCCTCCGCGCCCCCCCAAAGGAGAGAGACGCTTCGCCCCCTCTCCCTTTGAAGTGCTTTCGTTGTGATTTATTCCTCCTCCTCCTCCTCTTTTTTTTTTTTTTTGGTTTTGTGTTGTTGTTTTAAAGTATGTGCTGCTGTTGAATAAAAACCACACCACTCACAACAACAAAAGGCAAAAAGCCCGGCGGCAGCTGCGGACTCGGCTTCCCGTCCCCCCCACTCCTTACCCCTGCCCGGCCGACCCCCCACCCTCACCCCCCAAGCCCCGGCCTGGAGTGGATGAGTCTCTCCATGAGAGATCCGGTCATTCCTGGGACAAGCATGGCCTACCATCCGTTCCTACCTCACCGGGCGCCGGACTTCGCCATGAGCGCGGTGCTGGGTCACCAGCCGCCCTTCTTCCCCGCGCTCACGCTGCCTCCCAATGGCGCCGCCGCCGCCGCCGCGCTCTCGCTGCCCGGCGCCCTGGCCAAGCCCATTATGGATCAGTTGGTGGGGGCGGCCGAGACCGGCCTCCCCTTCTCGTCCCTGGGGCCGCAGGCACACCTCAGGCCTCTGAAGAGCATGGAGCCCGAGGAAGAGGTGGAGGACGACCCCAAGGTGCATCTGGAGGCCAAAGAACTTTGGGATCAGTTCCACAAGCGGGGTACAGAGATGGTCATCACCAAGTCGGGAAGGTGAGTGAGGGGCACGGGGAGATGGGGGGGGAGGAGCTGGGGATCCTCCCCAAGCTAGCTGAGGATTCCTTCCCCCCTTCCTTTAACCTCTGTCTTTATCTCTCTCTTCCCAGAATGGTTGCTTTGCCTGTTAGTACGGCTTAGACGAACACTTAAAAAGTTTACCCTCCGCAAAATGAACACAGGGAATGCCTGGCCCTGCCCTAGTGTTGGGACATTTTAGCGGACCTGGGCATTGGGGTTCACCCATGGGATACATGGGGGGCTCTTCCAGAGAGCCAGCCCCGTCCCCGCTCCCCATGGCTGGAGAAAGGCACCCTCTTTTGCAGGCAGCTTGCTCTCAGATCTTTCCCCGGACACTGTCTGGCTTGAGCTTTGGCGAGTTTGTACCTGGTTTATTTTGTACTCCCAGGGAGAAACTTAAAAGGACATTCCTTTGTGCTTAGCCCCCCTGGACCTGACCCTATCCCCCCCCCCCCCATTTCTCTTCTTCAGCCTGGCCTCTGGGTGGGAAGGGGGCCTTGAGCCTGGCTGCCAGGGTCACTCAATGGAAGGGTGATTTGGTTTGTTTGGTTACTAGCACCCTTCCTCAACTGTCTGTGTGTGACCCCCCCCCATTCCCCCACCCAGGGGGGAGTCCAGCGGGGAATTTTTGAATAATTAAGATTACGTTTGCCAAGGAGCCTGAAGGATGTGTTCCTGTCTCCCGTTCTTGTGCCTGCGAATATTAGAATTCGTATTTTTACGTAATGCCTGGTAGAGACCAGCTTGGAAGGGAGGCCTCCAGGCTCATCCGTTTTGAAATCACTGATTTCTTTTTCATTAAAAAAAGGGGGGAGCACTGAAGTTCCCCCCCCCCAAGGTATTACGTTGGAAGGATACAAAATACAATCCCGCTTCTTAAATATCCCCAGCTTTGTGTCTCCTTCCGACCAAAAACGAGGCCAAAGTTGGACAGAAAGTTCTGCAACCCACAAGATGCTTGGAGCCGGCTTTCCCCGAGGAAGTGCTTCCTTTTAAGTCACAAGTACTAAATGCCAGCACTTGAGTGAAATTAAACAGAGTTTGGGGGCAGGAGATCTTGCCGTCTCTGATCTAAGGAATGGGGGAATGTGGCTAAGAACTCCGCCGGTGGGTGTGTGGGTCATCAGGCCTCCAGATCTGCTGGGCATCTGTAAAACACAGCCCCAGCATCTGTCCAAAGCCTGGTTACAACCCCTCGGCAGGGAGGGATTGTCACAGGCTATTTATTCCCTTGATACATTTAACATTTTCATAAAAATAGCGGCTGGAAAATTCTACCATGCTTTGCTAGAATCCCAGCTCCCAGAAAAAGACAGGCAACTTTTTTTTTTTTCCCCCTCAGCACAGAGGTTACACAGGGAGAAAGTTGAGAAGAAAACAACAACAAACAACACTTTAAACCATGGAGAGAAATAGAACATGATCCATTTGTTTTGGATCTTGGGGTATCGGTATTGTAAAAAGAAACTGAGCCTGTTTGATCATTCAGTGAGCAGGAAAACAAGTTTACACTTAGCTGCCCTACTGGAAATATGTATCTATACAAATTCAGTCAGTCATGAGAGAAAGTTGAAAACTTTGTTTCAGTGTTCGAGGAGAGCAAGATCCCCACAATTCTCAGCCCATGTATAGTGGGTTTTTTTTTCTCTCTCTCTCCTCTTATTAATATTATTTTTTTTCCTATTGTAGGCGAATGTTTCCTCCATTTAAAGTGCGGTGCTCAGGCCTGGATAAAAAGGCCAAATATATTTTGTTAATGGATATCATAGCTGCTGATGACTGTCGATATAAATTCCATAATTCTCGGTGGATGGTGGCCGGTAAGGCTGACCCAGAGATGCCAAAACGAATGTACATTCACCCCGACAGCCCCGCTACCGGGGAACAATGGATGTCTAAAGTGGTCACCTTCCATAAGCTGAAACTCACCAACAACATTTCCGACAAACACGGATTTGTAAGTTGCATTGCTCTTTTTTTTTTCTCTTAAGTAAAATTCTGTTTTTCTCAATTCCCCCTCCCCCTTCCCCTTCCCCAAAGGCAGCTGCCCCTTTATTCCTTATAAATCCCGTGTCTCTCGGTTCTGACTTCTCTTCGAGAGCAAGCTGGTCGGATCTGTGCTAGCGAGAGAGCTCGAGAAGGGTTTATTATGTGTTTCTCTCTGGTTCGTGGAAGGCCTCGCGTTCTAAAAGAGAGTGAGGTTCAGAAAACTTTTAAACTCCTGTACTGTAAGCCAGGTCACGTTCTTGAGTTGATGCTGGATCTAGAATTGAAGTTTAGAAAAAGAACTGAAAGTTTTTTTAAGGGGGGGGGTCAGTCGCCAAGCGATGTGTTTGGAAAAGATTTCACTTTAAAAAAAAGAAAAGGAAAAGAAATCTGCTCTTTTGAAACCTGCCGGGCTAATTCATGGGAGAGAGCTTTTTTAAAAGTTTGCGAGCTTTGACCCCGTTGGCTTAAAAGGGTGTGAACGCGTGTGGGAAATTTTTATTTTCTTTTATGAAAAGACAATTGGGCATAGGTCAAAGTCAGGTTTATTAGAAACGAGGCTCAGAGAGCTTCAGGCGTGAGGAATGAGTGCATGCATGGGGTTCAGTGAGAGGGTACTTAGAATTTTCTAGAAGGCTTGGGGGATTGCATGTAGAAGTCAGATGTGGGGGGGGGGAGGGGAGGCAGGAGACCTTTGCCCTTTTCCGCTACCCCTCTCCGACATTTCAATAAAATAAACAAAGTGATAATCGAGGAATAAGCTGGAAGATTAGGTCCAGGAAGACAGGAATGGTGCGGAAATATCTTCAGTGGGCCGGAATTGCATTTGAAGCCCCTGATTTGATTAGGACATAAATATTTCTCTCCAGAGTTCAGACCTCCCAGGGCTTTAAGTGGATTGAGCTCGTCAATTAGCGGACGCTGAAAGTACTGAATCATTTTGTAAATTAAAATGCATGTTTTTTCTCTCTGTCTTTGAAGACTTTGGCCTTCCCAAGCAGATCAGGCATCCTAACGGGGGGGGGGGGAGGGGGGGGGTTGTATGTCGTTTGGGGACTCAGGTAGGCTAGGGTTCAAGGTAGATGGCTAGAGTGAGGCAAGGGAAGCCTTGGTGGAAATTCGGGAGCCATCTAGATTGTTCTGAAGATAACAACTTCAGAGTGAAATCTACCTAAGGAAGTGAGCTAGGTCCCCAGCCCTGGTACCCGGTGGTGGGGGGTGGGGGGGTGGGGGTAGGAAATGTCATCCTGTCACCTTGTTTGTCCTGCTAATTTCTTTCTTTAAAAAGATCTTTTGTTTGTTTTAATGTACCTCTCTCTCCCGTGTCTGCAGACCATCTTGAACTCCATGCATAAGTACCAACCCCGCTTTCACATTGTCCGAGCCAATGACATTTTGAAGCTGCCTTATAGTACATTTCGGACTTACTTGTTCCCAGAAACCGAATTCATCGCTGTAACTGCTTACCAGAATGATAAGGTAACCCAAAGGGCCTTTAAAAAAAAAAAGGAAAAATAAAAGGATGCTATCTTTTTTTTCCTGCCCTTTAAGTTTCTGAAGAACGTTAAAAGGTATTTTACATGTGAGTCTTGAGCCATTGTGTGGACAGTTATGTTAACCCAGCCTCTCCTTGGAGGGCAGAGGGGCAAAAATAAAAAACTTACAGTCAGCTACAAACTCCAGCTCTGAACCCAATGCAGAATCTGCCCAGGCGAAGCTGACTTTGCCAGCTAGAAACTCTCTCACTATTGTCACCCATCTCCACCACCTCCCCTCTGGCCTCCCTTCCCTGGTGGAGGGGGTCGGGGTGGGGGGCTTTGTCTGGTGGATTTCAGTGTTCATCCTCCTCTTCAAGAAGGAGGGTCCAACAACAACAAAAAAGGTTTGAAATGAGCCAGCTAAAATGTTAAGGCAAAAGCCACTTGGGATTCTGAGAGAGGGAGGATCTTGGTGGAACTCAGGTTGGGGGTTTTCCCCCCTCTAGCCTGAGTAGCTGGTCTGGTTTTTATTACCTTTTATGCTGCTGTGTTTTTTATGGTGTGTGTGTGTGAGAGACAGAGAGAGGGGACCGCCTCATCACTGTTTGAGGTCTTTACCTGGAGGTAGCCAAAGTTGCCACCTCATTGGAAAAATCCTGCCTTGGGCCTGTAGCTGAAGATTGTGTCCTCCCTCCCTCCCCCCTCCCCAAGGGGGGGGGGAAGGCAGGGCTTAGAACCTGCAGGTCTGCTGACCCAGAGCTACTGGGAACAGCACAAGAGGCACAGAGAAAATGGCCTTTAGGGTGTGACTCACCAGAGCCCAGCTTGGCAGCTGGGGCTGGGAGGGGGGTGGGGATAGGCTCAAGCACTGCACCCCAGAACCCCAGCTCACCTGAGTTCTGGACCTTAGGGGGACAATCCAGGCCCCCTAGCCCCACCCCTGCATTTGGAACTCACTGTCTTCACTGCCTGGGGTCCCTGGATGTGTAACAAGGTGGCCTTCATGGAGGTGCTGCCAAGATGTCACCCTGTCCTTTGCAATCTACCTGCAGTCACTTCTTACAAAAACAAACAGCCCCCTCTGCCATCTCTGAGGAGCAGATAGAGCAACTGTTCCCTAAACAGAGAATTTGGGAGACTGCAGGCTCTGATGGCCCTGCGTGGTGTGTAAGGTGCCTCCCTGACCCCCAGCCTCCTGGGAGAGTTGTATTTGCTGAGTGGGTTCACGTAATAGTACAGTGTTTTTAATCAGACCAGGAGGCCTGACAGTGGCAGAGTGTAGAAATGAGCACCAAGGCTAGTCAAGGCCATTCTGTTCTTTAAAACCTGTAAGCTTCTGCATTGTAATTCCCTAAGCTACTACCACTCCCCAGCCAAAGGGGGGAAAAAAGATTCTAACTCATTCTAGCACCAGGGTAGAGAAAAACTATCAATCATCTTATTAGATTCTCAGACAAGGTTGGTTGTGTGTGTGTGTGTGTGTGTGTGTGTGTGTGTGTGTGTGTGTGTGTGTGTGTGTGTGTAGTAGTGGATGAGTGTACCTTAACATCTTTGATGATTAATTACCTTGTGTTTCAAAAAATACCCAAATGGAAGCATACTCTTTATTGCCAGCGTGTCTGTCCTGACAACTTTAGGGGGAGGGTTCTTTCTCTGAGCTCAAGCTAATTCGCTACCCACAGAAAAACTTCCCTTTAGGTAATTTCAGCCTGAAGCCTATGTGGAACAGGCACACCTTGTTAGCTTCTTCTGTTTCCAGTGAGACACCCTGAGAACATTCTAGAAAGAAAAGCCAATGTCTCTCTCTGTCTTGTGTCTTCTCCTCTAGATAACCCAGTTAAAAATAGACAACAACCCTTTCGCAAAAGGTTTTCGGGACACTGGAAATGGCAGGAGAGAGAAAAGGTGAGTCAGAATCTCTGTTTTCTTCTTGTGTTAGTTACCAAAAATGGCTTTTTCTGTGAGTTTTACTTTCTAGTGTTAAAAGTGAGGTAGGAAACATGAATGCTGAGAAAATTCCCTGGGAAATCACTTCATTCCCCCCCCCCCCCCCCCCATTCCATACTCACCAGTAGCGTGGTCAGTACTTATTCTACCTTTAAAACAATTGTCACTGAGAGAAAATCATCATGGCTAACAGGTTACTTCTCATTTATTGCTAATTAATTGCTAATGAGTTGAAGTTCATCATGGGCAGGTCCCAGGAAAAGACCAAACCAATCACCAATTGCTTTTTGGGATTTTTTTTTTTTTTTTTTTTGCCATTTTGTCTTCCAAATTCCATCAGAGCTGGCTTAACTCTTGAGTTAATGTTTCCTTCCTTCCTTCCTTCCTTCCTTCCTTCCTTCCTTCCTTCCTTCCTTCCTTCCTTCTTTCCCAGCAGACAGTCAGTCTATATGAGAGAGGCCACCCTCCCACCACTGGTTTTTCAAACCATTCTCTATAATCCAGAAAAACCCCCCATTTTTAATGCATCCCCTTGGATTCAAAAATAACAATTTCTAACATCTACATAAATTTGAACTCCAATTAATATGTTGGTGAAGCAATTACAGTGTAGTGTACAGTGAAGTAACCACTTCCTGCCCATCTGAGCCACCATCCTGGAGTTGGGGAGAGGAGGCTGAGGACAGACAGTCTCTCTTGGTCCCTTTGGTCTCTGGGGCCACCAATGTAGTTGTCCCTGGCCTTGCCCCAGCTTTCACCTGTTTTTAAACAAGATTTTACAGGGTAAGCAAATGCCAAATAGAGCCCTCCTCTCTCCCTCCCTCCTTAACTACCCCTGGGGCTAGCACTCTGGAGAGGGCAGGCTTAGAGGGGCTCTAGAACAATGCTGGGGTCTGTAGAGTGGCTGCCCTGGGCCCAGCTGATGGCAGCGTTCCTGTGATCTCTGAGAGGCAGGAAGACAGGCCGGCCGGCAGGGTGAGGTGTGTTGGATGTTTAAAAGCTGGGGAAAGCCCAGAGGGGAAATGGGTAAGTTTCACTGGGTAATGTTGGGGTGGTGTGCGGGCATCCTTTTCTGCAGGAAACAGCTCACCCTGCAATCCATGCGGGTGTTTGATGAGAGACAGAAAAAGGATACAGGGACCTCAGACGAGTCTTCTAGCGAGCAGGCCGCCTTCAGTTGCTTTGCTCAGGCCTCCTCCCCGGCTGTTTCCACCGTGGGGACCTCAAACCTCAAAGGTAAGTCTGGCCACCCCGGGGGGTGCTGGGAGGAGGCCCCCCCCCCTGGTCCTTCTCCTGTCTGAAGTTCCCTGGGCAGGGCCAACCAGATTAACCCTTTAGAAGCCCATGGACCCCTGCCAGGGTCTATGAACAGGAGCCAGGTGTGTCTTCCTCTTTCCCAGAAATCCGCACTTGGCTGGGGAAGGAGGTGATGCTGTGTTTGTCTATTAGGTCTTGATGAGGGAGGGCAGTTTTTTGGAAGGTTCTGGAAGCTGCTCTTCCAGTCAAGACAGCATCTGACTGTTGGCTGACCACCTACCTTGAAGTGTAGGTTAAAACTGTGTCAGGTTGGGAATGGGGAAACTTCCTCTGCCACTCAGGCCTAGGGAATGAACGCCCCAGGAAGTGACAGCTAGAAAGCTAGCAGTTCACCTGGGCAAGACCTGGGCAGGAGGTGGGGGGGGAGGGGCCGTGGATCCTGCTTGGGTGGGGGTGGGGAGATAGAGCTTCCCTTTGTTTTCTGCATTTAAAAAGAGCAAGCACACCCTCTCTGAGTGTAATCAAAGAGAGTTCCTTTACTGTCTTAAGCTTTCTGGTAGGACTGACAACCCACTGAAGGTGTAGTTGTGGAAGCCGGGAAGAAAAAGAGGGAAAAAGAGGGGTAGTTACTGCTCCCGTGTGTGTGTTGGTGCACGGAGGGACACCCCCGTCCACCCATCCATCTCTGCCGGGGCTGAGGCTTTGGGGAGTGTGTATTGATTGGGGTGAGGGTTGTTGGTGTCTGCCCTAAGCAATTCACCGGGCAGACAGGATTCTTTGCAAACCAGTCCCCACGGGGTCGGGGCCAAAAGGGCTGACCTTGATCAGTGGGGTTGAACAAAAGGCTGGGCAGGTAATTGGAATGGTGATGAAGCCAGTGACTTTTAGAGTAACTTCGTTTTCCTTCCAAAAAGAAGTTCATTTGCACACGAGGTGGAGATGTGCAGGGTTTGGCCTCCCCCACAGGAGAGCTCTGCGTGACTCCCTTAAATTAAAACACAAAAAACCCGTCATTATAATGAGAAGAGGTGACTTGTCCAGACTTCCAGCGTCTGCCTGGTGGGACACCTCGGTTGATTCTTACTGTGGAAGCCTGGAGAAGTCTCTCTCCAAACCCTTCTGTTGCAAATGATGAGAGAAAGAGAGAGAAAATCTCTAGGGGGGGGGGGGGGTGCTGGGAGAAGATTCCAGGGACTTGCCCAGGGTCACCCAGCCAGTGAAAAAGGCCCAACCCAAACCCCACCCAGCGTTGCGGTGGGGCTGCGGGGGGCGCGCGCAGGGACCGTCCTGGAGCTAACGCCCGCCGTGTTGTGGTCCTTGTCGCTGCCCCGCTCCGGGTAGATCTGTGTGCCAGCGAGGCCGAGAGCGACGCGGAGGCCGACAGCAAGGAGGACCCGGGTCCCGAGGCCTGCGACTCGGCGCGCATCTCCACCACCACGGCCGAGGAGCCCGGCGGCCGGGACAAGGGCAGCCCCGCGCCCAGGGCGCCGCCGCAGCATCACCTCGCGGCCGGGCCCCGGGACGGCGGGCGTCCCGACAAAGCGTCGCCCGATTCCCGCCACAGCCCGGCCACCATCTCGTCCAGCACCCGCGGCCCGGGCCCGGAGGAGCGGCGGAGCCCGGGCGCGGCGGCCGCAGCGGCGGTGGCGGCCGCCCGGGCGGAGGAGGCGCGCGCGCTGCCCGGCAAGGACGCCTTCGCGCCGCTCTCGGTGCAGACGGACGCGGCCGCCACCGCGCACCTGGCCCAGGGGCCCCTGCCCGGCCTCGGCTTCGCCCCGGGCCTGGCCGGCCAGCAGTTCTTCAACGGGCACCCCCTCTTCCTGCACCCCGGCCAGTTCGCCATGGGGAGCGCCTTCTCCAGCATGGCGGCGGCGGGCATGGGGCCCCTGCTGGCCACCGTGTCCGGGGCGTCCACCGGGGTCTCCGGGCTGGATTCCACCGCCATGGCCTCGGCCGCCGCCGCCCAGGGACTGTCGGGAGCGTCGGCCGCCACCCTGCCCTTCCACCTGCAGCAGCACGTCCTGGCCTCGCAGGTACTGCCCGCCCTCCTCTCCCCCTGTCCACCTCCGCGCCTCCGTCCAGCAGCCTTAACTCACCGTGTGGCAGAGCGCCATTAGGTTTATGGACCCGCTACGCGGCCCAGGACTTCATTAGGTCATCATGACTTTTTCACCCCCTCCATTCCCTCCCCCTGCAAACCCCAGCCCCCCTTTAGACATGCCCCCCGCCAGGCAGCGGCAGTGCCGGCTGGGTTGTGTTCCCACTCACTGGACCCCATTCTCCTTCTGGGCACTCTGACACCTCTGTTGTTCAGCCCGGTGGGGAAGAGGTCCAGAGACACCGTCTCGGAGTGAACTTGTCTGAGGTCACACAGCTCGGTTGGTTGGCTCGTGATGGAGCTGGGGCTCTGATACCCCGGGTTGGGAAGGTGTCTTTCTGGCCCTTTTGACTTTTTTGGAGCTGCCAGTTTTGCCTCGGTGTCTCCTGGCCAGAGCTCTCTCCACCCTCTGGAGGAATTGGAGCCAAAGGGAAACTGAGGTCTGGGGAAATAGGAGAGGGGGAGGGGAATGGCTTGCTAAGGGGAAGATCCCCCTTCTACAGTCTTTCCTTCTCATTCCAAGTCCCTCTCCCTCCACCGCCACCCCCAAGCCGCCCGGCCCAGCTCACAAAGAGTTAATGGCCTAGGGCACATGTGGGAATATCAGAGAGACTAAAGCAGGCCTGTGTGTGGCTCAGACAGCTGTGTGGGACGCCGCATGGCTGGGGGGGGGGGGGAGGGAGGCTCTGAACTCCACGGAAAGGGTCTCGGGTTTTCTGGCCTGTTGTTTTGTCTGAGCAGATTCGTCTCCCCACTCTTGGGCCGAGAGGGCAGATTGAGTTCTCCTGTTGGGGGTGGGGTGGGGGAGGGGAAGGCTGAGGGAAACCTTGGTGTCTGCTCTGGTTTAACCTCTCCTTCCCTGCTTTGGGGTGGGATGGGGGAGCAGCAGCAGCAGGTGGTACGGGAGGGGGAGGGGGGGAGGGGGTGGCTGCAATGGTACCTCTTAGGGCTGAGGCAGATCTGGCTGAGATCTGTTTCTGCCACTTAGTCCCTGTGGGCACTTCTGGGCCACTGAAGCCTTGCCTGAGTTTCTCACCTGGGAGGGTAATGCCATTTTACCATTTCCCTCCAATTACCTTCCCACCTCCCTGTCCCTCCCCCCCCTTCCCCACAAGACTTACGTTTTGACAAAGCATGTTGTGTGGTTCTCCTAGGCTGTCTGGGGTGGGGGGTGGGGAAGGGGGAGACCCCCTTGAACAGGTGCAGCTGCCAGTAAGGGAAACTTCTGGCACTTTTGAGAACCTGGCAGAAGGGGTAATTGTATTACAAGCATCAGCTCATTTAATATTGACCCAGCCCCCAATCAGTATATATGGATTGCTTGTGGTTTCTCTGGTTTATCATATTTAGGGAGCTGTGGCCCTGGGTGACACAGTTGAGTTGAAACTACACACACACACACACACACACACACACACTCAGCGCCTTGCCCCCAGGTAGCTAGCAGGGAAGAAACCCTGAAGCTTGGCCCCTGTCCATCCAGCTTGGAGGGGGGGGGGCTGCTTGTTTGCTCCCTTGTATGTGTGCTCACTCTTGTATGTGGCTTCTGTCTTCCATTCCCAGGGTCTGGCCATGTCGCCTTTCGGAAGCCTCTTCCCCTACCCTTACACCTACATGGCTGCGGCCGCAGCAGCCTCCTCCGCTGCGGCCTCCAGCTCCGTCCACCGCCACCCGTTCCTCAACCTGAACACCATGCGCCCGCGCCTACGCTACAGCCCCTACTCCATCCCCGTGCCCGTCCCGGACAGCGGCAGCCTGCTGACCACCGCGCTGCCCTCCATGGTGCCCGCCGCGGCCACAGGACCCCTGGATGCCAAAGCCACCGCGCTGGCCACCAGCCCGGCCTCGGTGGCCGTGGACTCCGGCTCTGAACTGAACAGCCGCTCCTCCACGCTCTCCTCCAGCTCGGTGGCCTTGTCACCCAAACTCTGCTCCGAGAAGGAGGCGGCCACCAGCGAACTACAGAGTATCCAGCGGTTGGTGAGCGGCTTAGAGGCTAAGCCGGACCGGTCCCGCAGTGCATCCCCTTAACCTCTTCCCGCCACCCCCCACCCCGGGAAAGTCTCTTCATTCCAGTTCTGGTCAAGTCTTCAGTGCACTTTGTTGGATGTAAAAATAACAGCACCCCCCCCCTCTGGAGGTGCAGCCTGGCCTGGCCTGTCTGGGGGTGACCCTTTCCTTTGCAGTGGTATCTAAGAAGCCTGGACTCTCGTGGAGAGGTTGTACCCAGAAACCAGTCACCTTGACGTGGTTTTGTCTATCTGGGGTTCAGAGATGGCTGTTGTTTGGAGCTGATTGGGGCTGGAGGTAAAGGAACTCCCGCAGAGGCTGGTCAGCAAGCTGAGGTTAAGAAGAACCAAGGTAGCAGGGCCCACCGGGAGAGAGAGGGCTTGAAAGGCATGTATATATCTCTCTCTGTGTGGGTTTCTATAAATATATATATTTTTTCCCTTCGCAGTGTCAAGTGGAAACAAATAAAAAATGTGTTTTTAAAAACAGGAGAAAGAAGGGAGGGGGACAAAATGAATTAACACGCTTCTGTGTGTGGAGATTGGAAAACTTTACAGTGACTTGTATGTCGGATCTCAATAAATTCCCCCGGAAGCCATTGCTTGGGAAGGCAAATCCTCGTGATTCTTGTTTAGCCGATATTAAGGAAATCTGTGTCATTTTAAATACGATTCTTGTGATGTTTTAAGAGCTGATATTAGGTCTTCTTGCATGTGTTTCACCGTCATATATATTCGTGGTTTTTATTTTGGACGCCTGCTTTTAGACAAAGCAAATCACCCCCCTCCACCCTCCCACTCCCTCAATCCTGACTTCCCCCAGCCCTTAACTCACAGCTGGATTTAACCCAGGGAAGAGATGGGGGGGGGGGGGGAGGCTGGAAAGGGGGAGAAGAAAGCTGAATTTATTTTAGCTAAGCTCTGTGGCAGTTCATTCTCTCTCCTTCCCATATATGCAATAACAAGGTTTTAAGAAATAATAAAAAAAGAAGCGAGACTATTAGACAAAGTATTTATGTAATTATTTGATAACTTGTAAATAGGTAGACTATGAATGCTCGGGAAGAAAAATTAAAACTTTTAATTTATTGACATTGTACATAGTTTCTGTGTAAATAGATCGCAACTGTCCTGTGTTTATCCTTCTCTTTTAGTTGGTTTTATTTCTAGGTCACCCAGAGTGCAGTTTCACAGTAGAAAACATTTTCCCCAAGTGCTGTCTACAGAATTCTGTTTTCCCTTGTTGGTTTTCTTTTCTTTTTTTTTTTTTTCCTCCCTGGTATTCGAGAGTTGGGAGAGGAGGGGAGTACTAGTACCTCTTTTATTTAGCCAACAGGAGTTGCCGGATTTCGTTTTCAATTTCTTAAAACCCGAAATCCCCCAGTGTGTCTGGGGGATTGCTGAGGGGTGTGGGTAGGGAGTCGTGCAGGGGCTGCGGCTTGACTTATTAATTTTGCTTTCATATTTGTGTTTGCTAGTCTCTGACTTCCTTCAAAGTGGAATTTACTACTGTGGCTAATCTTGATGGCATTTTGAGTTTTGGTACCTAGCCGAGAGGAGAGAGAAAGGAGATTTCACAACTCCAGAAGTCAGGTGCTGAACGTTAAAAAAGGAAAAAAAAATCCATGAAGGTGTATTTTGTGTTATAGAGTTCTTTGGTTTTCTGTATCCCTCCCCCTCTCCCCGTCTTTAAAAACACTGAAATTTCAATAAATTTTTATTGAAATGTCTTTGGGCCTTGTGTGAAATACTTTCCTTGAGCTTTTTCCTCAGTGTGGAAAGGGAAAGAAGGCTGGGGGGGGTGTCTTCCCCCCCCCCATTCTCTTTTCCTTCACCTTTAAATAATTATGACTGCCCCCCCCCCAGCCAAAATGAGATGTCACTGAAATTACAAAGCTTTAAAAAAAAAAGTCCCTTAACTCTATAGGGACTCACCAGCTTGCATCTGAAAATAAGACTTGGGAAACGGAAGCAGCATGATTAAAGTGGTAAGGAACATTTGATCGCAGATACTTGGATTCTAATAGCCAGAGAAACTTGGCCCCCTGGCTTCTGTCAGCCTTCCCCTCCCCCATATACCCCCACCCCCCAAAAAAAAAACTTAAACCAAAAGAACTACGAAAAGAAAAAGGAAAGGTGGTGGGCTAGGAATGTTTTCCTTTCAATCCCGTCTGAGTTGTTTTGGGGTCTTGTTTTTCTTTAAACATTGATTTGTGGAATCCAAGTCCAAAAATCTCTGTGGGCACCCCGGAATCTGTCTGGCAGAGGAGGGGCTCAGTCAGGAAGCCCCCCATTCGGGGATGACACGAACAGACAAGGCCGAAGGCTTCCCCAGGCCCCAGATACCCAGGGCGCATAGCCCGGGCTGTGGATCTGGACCGGGCTGGGCAGGAAGCCCCAGCCAGGCAGGCAGGCTCCCCGGGGCACGGCGGGCACCGCACGGCCAGCTGTCCAGCTGTCCCGCACACCGAGCCAACGTGTCACACCAGGAGAGGCAGAGGATGGGGTGGCAGGTCTCAGGACCTCCAAAGGCAAAAGCACCCGGAGTTTGGGGGCAGGCCTGGGGGAGGGGGAAGAGGCCAGCACCCTCCCCCCAGGTCCCCCGCAGGCCAGGTCACGACGGGAGTGGGCCTTTTGAAGTTCCGTTTATCTTGGAATCAATTCGGTGAGATGGAGGAGATGGCCTGGGTGGCTGGCTGGGGCTCTCCATCCTTCCACCCTGGCCTTGGAGGTGTTGGGGGGGGGGGGAGGCAGAGGGGGAGGGAGGAGGGGGGAGTTCTGGGGACTCTGCCCTCCGTCCTCGGTCTCGTCCCCCCCCCCTCCCGGGGCCCGTGGCGCGCAGTCCCAGCCGGAGCCTGCCTGGCGGCCGACTCCCCACCCCCCACCTCTCACCCCGGAGCCCGCCAGCCGGGCCCCAAGTCCCTGTCACCTCCAGGCCTCTTGACCGGCCGGGAGGAGTTCCCCCCACCTCCACCCCCCCCCTACACGTCCCAGGAAGAGGGGACCTTTTGGGGACCATCTGGAGGAGGGCACGTGGGGCACCTCCAACGTCCTCTCCCGAGCCGTGGGGCGGGGAAGGGAAGGGAAGGACGATTCGAAGTGGAAGACCACTTGGTCTTCCCCACTGGGGAAGGGCTTGGTGGAGCTGGTAATGGGGGGGGGAGGAGGGGGTTAGATCTCCCCCAAGGCCCAGAGATTTCCAGGGCGCGCGTCCCGGCTGCGCGCTCCCAAATTGGGGAGCAAATGACTTTGGTCTCGAAGAGGAACGGGGTGTTGGGGGGGGTGGAGAGCTTTTCTGGTCTATTGATCGCCGTCGTGGTGACCTCCTCCCCCTCCCCTAGCACCCCCCCCCCCCGCCCCAGTGGGGACAGCGCGCCCACCTGGGGCCAGCCTCTGCCTCCTCTTCTATCTGTCTGTCTGTTTGTTTCTGATCGGCGATCTCCCGCGCGTCTCGCGGTGGACGGCGACGTTAATGAGTAACCGCGGCGGCGCGGGCGGCGGCGGGGCCGGGCGCGGGCGGCGGCGGGGCCGGGCGCGGGCGCCCCGCATCTCCGAGGTCTATTACTCACCTGGCGCCGGCGCAATCTCGCCGCGGGCTTTATGGTGGCGGCGGCGGACGCCGGGGCCACTCGGGGCCGGCGCCTCAACCTGCTTTGGTGGTGGTTCCCCCCCTTCCTTCTCTCTTCTTCTTCCTCCCCCGGGCTTCGAGTGCCACCTATCTGCCCGGCCCACCAGTGCGCGCCGGTGGCGGGCGGCCCCGGGCACCGGCCGGGACGATCCGCCGCGGGTCCCTGCCCGCCACCCACTCCCGCGCGCCCCCGGGATCGGACCGGGGTGGGGGGGATCCGTCACTGGGGGGGGGGGGTCACCCTCCGCCCTCTGACCTCTGGATTTCCAGGAAGAACTCCAGCGTGGACGCGGCTGGCGATTCCCCCTGATCGGTGTATTGTGTGTGTGCGTGGGGTGGGGGGACCCTGCCGGGGTGGAGGGGTCATCTGAGGCCGGGGGGAGGGAGGGAGCCGACGACCCCCCCCCCCAGGCCTCCACCTCCACCCCAGGTGGGCACTGCTTTGAAGCCGGTGGCTTCCTGAGACAAAGGCCACCTCCCCAGGAAGCCGCGGTCCCTCTGCCCGCCCCCCGTGTCCCCCGTGTCCCCCGCGGGGGTCAGCGGGGCTGGGAGAGTTGGTGATCTGTAGATTTAAGGTGACAAAGGCGGGTGCGGGCCAGAGCCCCCCCTCCCCTCCACCCCGGCCTGTCGGGAAGGTCGGCCCCAGGCCCGGCTGCGCCCTGGCGTCGGGGACCCGCGGAGGGGAGGGCGGGGGGCGCCGTTTGCTGCGCTTTGAGGCCGGGGAAGAGGCGTCCGGGTTCCTGCTGACCTCTCGGTGCTAATTGCTGGGGCCCGAAGGGCGCGCCCGGGCAGAGGCCGGGGTCACAACCCTGCGCTCCCCTCCCTCCCTCCCTCCCTCCTCTCGCCCTCCCTCCCTCCCTCTCGGGATTCTGGAGCCCCCTGAGGAGCCCGGGGCGTGCGCGACCCCAGGGCCGGCCTGGCCTGCGCCCACGCGGCTCCGCGTCCCCTCCGCGCCCGCCCCGGGCCCACGGCGGGTGCGTGGGGGGAAACGTTCCCGAATATCAACTTACAATTCCAGCCCTGGGTTCTGACCCTTTCCCCTAAAGCTAGCAGACAGACAGACAGACACAGACAGCCGCCCTCTGCGGTGCTTCCTATTCCCCACCCGTTCTGCTCTGTTGATCTCCAAACTGGACCTCACCAGGAACAGTCAGGAGAGTGGCTGCTGCGGAGGAGAGCCCAGAGCAGCGAATTTTCTGGGCCACGGCTCCATCGGGTCCCACCTGGGGGAGGGGGTGAGACTCAGGCCAGGACCTGCAGGTGTTAAAGGACCTGTGTATGTGTGTGTGTGTGTATGAGTGTGTGCATACACACGTGCGTGCATGCATGCCCCATCGGCAGGCGTCTCTTCCAATTTGGAGTGAGGAGCCCCGGCTGGAGACAGTTCCGGATGTAAATGCACTTGAGTTGTTTTATAATCAAGATGCGTATAATCAAGGAGTATACGTTGCAGATGTCGGCGTTCAAAGTGCACATCGCAACCATCATAAAAATAGCTGGCATCCGGGGCCTGTGCTGGTGCCAGGAGCTCCACCACGCACCCACAAAAGTGACCCCGGAAAAATTAACCCCCTAGGTGTGCTCCTCTTATTTATTTTTTTTAAAGCGCCGTTTTGTTTTGTTTTACCACAGAAGAAACCGAAGCACAAGATAGTTAAGTGATGCGAGATTACCCTGGGAGGAGGGCAGGTAAGGATTATGGAAAGAGAATTAACTGCCAACCCAGAGAGTTCTAGAATCCACTCTAAGCAGTCCCCTCTCATTCAGGTGGAGGTGTGTCTGTGTCCTGGATGTAGCGAAGGGGACTGCAGAGTGTTAGATTTCAGAGTAAGGGCTCCTGTGCTGGTTTTTCTTTTTCTTTTTTCTTACAATGCTCTTGAGGTTTGTGAATCTGTTGTGAAATACGAAAGCAGTCTTTACGTTGGCCTTCGGTTCTCTCTTCTGTATGGGAGTAAACACTAAGGGGGTGTGAAGATGGGGTGTTTGGGGGAGAGGAGGCCTATGTGCCTAGATGGATCAAGACAGACAGGATGGAGACAGAACCCCACCCCCGAAAAAAAATGCCTACAGCAGAGGGGGTCCCCAAAGCAGAAACAACTTATTTTCCTGGCCATGGGAGCCCAAGGTGGAAGTTGTGGGGAGAATGGGAATGGGTCTGGGAATCTCTGGATCATGGTAAGCAGGGCAGCCTGCAAACTAAATCTGTCTCTTCTGTCCAGGTCAGGAAGTGAGCCCCAGCCTTTTGGTGTTTCAGGAAGTCCTTGCAAGGACTTCAGCCGCTCCTGCCCCGGCATGGGGGTGGGAGACACAGATTCTCCTGACCAAAGAGAAGAGGGGAGCAGAGGACGCAGACCTGCAGTCCGGGTCAGTGCCAATGCCAGCACCAGCCTGGTGCAGACTGGGGGAAGGCAGCAAATCGCACCCCAGCCCAGAGCTCGATCAAGGTGCTTTGTGCCTCAGACGCACACCGGGCCGGGCTAGAGTCCTTGGGCCTCTGACTCCCGGATCTCCAGTTTTGGAGGCAGCCTGGTTGGCACCTCGAAGGTACCCACCCCTCTTGCACACTCCCCCCAGTCACCCCATTCCGGGATCCCAGGCTGCAGATCTAGTTGAGCCTTTGAAATGTGATCCGGCACCACTTGGGGTTCCCAGTAAATGACCTGGGCTGTGGTGGCGGGTGCTGGGGTTGGGGAATCATCCTGGTGCCCGCCTGCCCACCTGCCCTGGCTTCTCTCTCCACGGTTCCCACATGGGTGCTGGGATGCCAACTTCCTTCTTGCCCTGTTCACTGGGTGCATTCTAGTCCCCAGCGCCCGCATCTCTGACATCATATTATTATTGTTGTTATTGTTGTTGTTGTCTTAACCTTTTTATGTCCAGGAGTGGGTGCCCCCTCTCCTAGGTGACTCCAGCCAATCGCTTGGCATCATATACAAATGTTACTGGGCAGATGTGCATTTTGCCGGGTGGGAACCTGCGGTTTAAGATGCTCACAGATGTGTCAGCCCAGCCAGATGAGGGGAGGACACTAACTGGGCTAGGTAAAAATTTAGTGTCTGTCTTTCTGTCTGTCTGTCGCTTTCTCTCCCTTGCTTATTTGGA